ACCCCGGTCTTAAGGTATTCTTATCTTTCTCTCGCTGGAGGTCTTTTCCTAATTTTTCCCAGGATGGGATCGTGAGTGACCCGGTACCGCTGAACCAGGGCGCCGCTCGATCCACTTCCTTTAGAAACCTTCTTAAAATTTGCTCCGATATTTTTAACTCCCTTTCCTCCAAAAGGCTTTGTAAGGCATAGACCAGTGATTGTGAAGTTGAATTGCCCATTTCTCCCTTATCTACGAGAGTGGGCGACCAACAAAGTTATCTACCTTTGATTTACGGCCAGTTTAAACCTCTTGGAGTAAACAAATTGAAACACCCGCCCACACCAGACAGCGTACCTCTCGGAAAGTTGGTGGATCCTCCCCTCCTGCGTCTCAGTTCTGAATCCTCCTGAAGTCAGGGGTCTCCGCTGATGCCGGCGATGATGGTCGTCGCTCCCGGGTTTCGGCACCACTTGTCGCGCGCACCTCGCCAGCAAGGAGCACGCAACACTCAGGATTCTTCTGAAGCACGCTTTATTGGAGGTTCTTCTACATTCTTCAAGATGGCGGAAAGACCCCGAGCCGGATGCAAGCCTGCCTTTATATCCACCCGGGCGTCGTGGCCTGTTTCTATTGGTCAATGCCAGCCTGCATCATTCTGACGAGCCAAGCGCCTCATCTGCACAAGCACAAACCACCGTCACCGGCGGACTCAAACCCGGAATTCATGTAGGGCATGAAGAACCCGGAAATAATGGCGCGTGACAATGTCTGAAGAAAAAAACAGTCACTGATTTTTCCCTTATTATAATTATTGAGGGTCATGATATACATTATATTCCAGGGAACTAAATCTTTGTCTAAATGATAAGTTTGTGTATTTATCAATTGGCGGACTCAAACCCGGAATTCATGTAGGGCATGAAGAACCCGGAAATAATGGCGCGTGACAATGTCTGAAGAAAAAAACAGTCACTGATTTTTCCCTTATTATAATTATTGAGGGTCATGATATACATTATATTCCAGGGAACTAAATCTTTGTCTAAATGATAAGTTTTGGTGTATTTATCAATTTGCATTCAAATTTGGTGTAGTAAGAACTTATTAATTATGTATTGCAGACATTTTACTTTGAGTGAAACAGAGAAGACAAGATGAAGAAACCAGTTATTTGTCTTTAAATATTAATTAGATGAAATACCATTTGTAATGGGAGAACTCATGTTATTGGAGAAAATTGTCAGGACAAATCTTTAAAACATTACATTTGAGCACAAAGTAGAATTTATATTTCTCTCAAAGCTACTTGTGTGTTAATGGGCATGGCAGATTGCATATTTGGGGGAGGTAGGGATACATATGCATGTGGGTGTGTGCTTTTCTACCAGAGAAAAAGAGCATGATGTTTTCTACTCTTAATGTCACCTGACATTTGAATGAGCACCATTTTGTATTTTGCATGAACATTCTGCTCAGATCTACTAGGAGAGGTGCAATCCAGATCCTGTTTGGTAATAACTGTATTTTTAATAATATAGCTTTGAATTTATTTTAATGTGAATAATTTGTGAAATTAGGCCACAGTTACTTTTGATTTTGAATGTGTATTTTTAATATGAATTCACTAACTCTAGACAAATAATTTATGAATTAGAACTATCATTCATTAACAAATGCACTACTTCTGTTCTACATTGTTGTATGGCTTTTCACTTTTAATAATGGTAGAGCAAGGCCTTAAATTATATTTTAGATCTTTACATCATGAACATTGTCACCACTGTGTCACAAGTGTTAAAATGTTAACTAATAACTCCCATTAGGTGTTGACTTCTTTTCCTTCACCATCTACGAGGGAATTGTATGAATCATGCACCCTCCTGCTTCACCCATTCACAAAGACCAATTGTTAATGTTTTAAATTCATGCTACTGAATCTTTCAAAATCTCTATAAATAATGAAGCCATTCATTGTGTTCAAGGATTCTGCCTTCTTCAATGATATGATTTTCTTCTCATTTGAAAGAGTATTTAATTGGATTGCTCATGATCTTTTAATATTTAATAATAATTTTATTAGCTGTATAGAATGAGGGGGACAAGATTTGCAATATCTGGTGCTGCTCATCAATTTTTCTTATCATGACTTAATGAATATTATAATTAGAAAGACGGAAATATAAATTAGCTTGGTAGTTGGTTGGGACTTGTTAGTTTATTGGTTTTAGCTTGGGCAAATCCCAGATTAGGCGCAAGAAGAAAGCACAAATATTTAGAGGTGCTTTAGAAACCCAGAGAACAAATTTCTGCAACTCATTAGTCATTTCCCCTTTTAAATAATGAACACAGAGGCTTTGAATACAGATATAAACACTGCAAATTGCTGGTGCTTCTATAGCAGTGCACAGGGTTCCCAACAACTTACAAAATTTAGCCTTGGCAGGTATATATTCCTTTAATCTCCATTAATTCATTTTGACAACTTTTCATTATCATTTCTTAACCATTTTCATTTAGCTAAGACAAAAGCATGGATTATTTTAAGTGGCAAAGTTAGCATAGCTCTCATGAAAATCACACTTTTTATTTAAGTAGCACCTCTCACTTGAGGTTTACAAAGTGCCTTTGAGTACATTGCTTATGCTTGTGGAATGGAGATCAGGGAAAGTTATTTGTAGGCACCATACATTTAATGCCTCATTTAATATAGGCCATGGGGAGAAAATAATTTTTATCTTTACCTCTCTTGGATATGTGTATATGTATGAAATGATTCCTAAATTTTTGGGTCTGTTTGAAAATGAAACCAGATATTGTTGAGTTTAATGTGCTTCTAAGCTGATTTTAACATGAATTGTTTTTAACCCCCACTAGCAACTGCTTCGAGAAAGACAGCAGATGGCCAGTCGTCCCTTTGCTTCTGTTGATGTAGCACTGGAAGTAGGAGCTGAGCAAACAGACTTTCTGCGAGGACCATTAGAGGTAGGAACGGTGGTGCTGAAAGAGGACCACTATGATTTGAATATTAATATTGCTTCTCTAATCTGCATCTGCTTGTGAAGCCACACAGAGTCTGATTATCTAGAGTTGACAAGATTCAGCTACATATGTTATGCCAATTTTGAGTCACATAATTTTAATGGTATGACATGAGCTGTAGCAAAAGCCACTGGAGAATCTGTTAGCCTAGGCAAGAGTGACAGACTGCTCGCCTGGCAGCCTTTCCCTGACAAATGGGAGCTGAAGGAATTTAAGATATAGGTGTAATGGAGAAATAAACCACCTTTCTTGGAGTAGCCCAGGTCCTTAGTTAACATCAATCATTGTTAACAAAGTTTAACATAAAAGGTAGGTGAAGGTGAGTTGCCTTTTAATTACACAGTTGTGTTTTTAAAAGTAGAGAAGTGTAAAATATAGTGAATATTTTGTTTGTGGAGAATGGCTGTATTACTACATTTCTTTGTCACAAACTCAGAAAAAGTACAACGAAACAAATCATATGTACACATAAAAGTGGTATTACAGTCCTAAAAGGATGCATAAAGTGTTTTTGTTTTTGGTTTTTTGAGACAGGGCCTCACTATGTAGTTGAGACTAACCTGGAACTCACTACGTAGCTCAGGCTGGTCTCAAACTCAGAGCAATCCTCCTGCCTCAGCCTCCCTAGTGCTGAGATTACAGGTGTGCACCACCACACCTGGCGAGTGGTTTCTGAAAATAATAACCCCAGAAGAAAAAGTCACAGATTGTGACTAATTTAAATACATGTTTGTTTCTTAGAGGATTTAGCTCGGTAGGATTTAGCTCAGTGGTTTCACTGCCTGCTTTGCAAGCCCAAGGACCCGAGTTTGATCCCTGGTACAAAAAAAAAAAAGTATATATGTTATTTTATAGTACAGTATTTAAGCAAGAAGATTAAAAAATTCTACAAATGAAATATTTAATTTCTTTTTTAAAAAATTCCAATTTTGGGATAATTATTATATGTTATTTTCAGAATTTGCTTTACTTTAAGTAAAGTAGGAAATATAAAAATAGACTCTTCCCACAATGGAGATAGAAATATACTTGATTCTTTCTGTAGAATTTTTGATTATTCTAAAAATACAAAACTAAAATTATACCTCATGGGTTCTATACAAAGGGCAGGTTTTTAGAGAGAATAAAATATTTTTGTATGTGCTTAGCTTTTGTGAATTTGACTTTTTGCTATTCTAGATGACAGGTTGCAGTGGAAACTTAGAACATTAGGAAATGCATGTCTCTGTCTTCCATTATTTGAAGAAGCATTCAGAAAAAGACAAGATGTGTAAATGAATGTTATAGCAAATTCTGTGATTTCTTTTAGGCCCTTGTTTCAAATAATGTTAGTATAAAACTTTTGTCAAACAGGATACCTGGACTATTTGAATCCAAATTCTCTTTTCTCTCCATCTGTTTAAAATAGTTTCAAATAGGACTAAAAGTCAAATAACAATAAAAAATGAATATAAGTAATGCATGCATAGGCAAAGAGGAAAAGGAATAATCAAAGAACTTGCAAACCCACAAGCACATGGACTTAAATACATACATATGTTTCAACTCAGTTTTTCCATTTCTCCTTGATAGTGTTCAAGGATATGTTGTTAGGCTTATACATGTCAAAAATCACTATGTTTTTCTTGTATTTTTTTCCAAATATTTGTTTCCTTCTATATGACTTTTAAAAGTTTTACACTTTATTTTGCAGAGTTTAAAAATATCTACTCCTACTTTATTTTAATTTGTATCAGCCTGGTAGTATGTACTTTCACTGTTCTATTTGCAGTTTCTCTGTATCCTGTTTTATGTCTATCCCTTATGGAGAAGACTGTTAGCTTTTTACTTTCCTGTTCACCCTGTAAGTCTGTCATTTGACTGGTGTTTGAACTGACAAAAATTACTGTTCTTTTCATAGGTTCTGGAACATAAACTGATTTTTGTCTACTAAATTTAGTAGTTCATATTCTATTCATTTTTGTGTTTCACAACAGTATCTTTCACTTATTATCTTAGTCACTTTCTCATTGCTGAGACACAACACCCAAGACCCACAGTTCAGAGGAGGAGAGGTTAATTTGGGCTCATGATTTGTAGAAGTTTCAGTCCATAGTCTGTTGGCTCCAAGACATAAACTGCGTGATGTGTGGAGGAAAGCTGCTTACATCAGGGCAGTCAGGAAGCAGATGAAGGGAAGAGCTGAAGAGGGAGATGCACCCTCCGTTCAAGACCCTCAGTGGCCGACCTCTTCTGAGCAGGGGCCACTCTCCCACATGGCCTTCAGCCTCTGAACTCACCACTGGGTGAATCTCCTGATGAGCACAGTACCTAGTGGTCCAAGCACCTTCTGAACACAGGAGGATTTGGGGGCTATTTTACATATAAATCATAACAATTATCGTGATCATAGTAATGGTTATTTTTCTCTAGTAGTGTTTAGACCTCATTTCTCTACTGCCCCTCTCAAACAAAATTGATGTCTGTAATTTTTTATATAAATGTGGATTCTTTACTGTGGCATATTCCAATAACTAGGAATATCTTTTCCTTTTCTGGTTGTTTTCGCATGCATTTCTTTCTTATCTCACTAGTACAAACCATCCAAGACAATTTTTTAATCAGAAATTTTATGTGGCATTCTCTTTGAGCAATTTAATGTCAATCGGTATATTTATTTGTTTATTACATGTAAATAACTCAGTTATATGTAAAATGTTAGCCTCAAAGTTTTCTTCAAAACTTTCAAAGTAATACTTTCCTGTCTCATGTCTAATATCCATTTGATTCTTTGCCCTTTGTAAATGATCCCAATTATCTTTTTTGAATCTCAAGAATTTGTCCTGTTTCTCAGTGTTCATAAATTTTGCTTCAGTGCCTCAAAATATACATATTCTACTTTCTCTTCCCAAGTTAGAAGCTTATACACATAAATTGATCTAATTGCCAAGTCAGCAGGTGGGGTGGGCAGACACCAATTCTTAGTAAGAGTTGTGCAGCAGTCTGCATATATGGCTATTAGATTCCTCACCCAAGCTGAAGCCTAGAGTAATGCTGTCAGTGATCTGCAGCCTTGGGGCAGCACTGGGTTGGTTCTGCTGCTTTTTTGCCCCACAGAAGCTAGGGTAAATATTACTCATTCCAGAAAACATGGCCCTGTCCCTCTCTTAATGAAGTCTATGTTGCCTATTCATTTCCTGTCTTTATGAGTTTTTTCTTAAAGACTTTATGAGAATTATAAATTACTGACTATGTCTCTGAACTTGTCAACATTCCCGTTTCATGTATGTCATCTACAGGTTTAAAGTTGGGGAAGGAAACAGATGACTTTAGTTTTCTCTTTTGTTGGCTGCAAGACCTTTTATGCATGTGTTTTTTGTCCCTCAAAACATCGTGTTAACATTGAGATTTTTGTCATTTTTCTTACTTCCATTATTAGTTCTCTGAATGATTGATGCTCATATTTCTTTCTTACCACTACTTTTCAGAAACTCAAGATCAAGATGTTAAAGAAAAAAATTAATTTCATGCAGTCTCTCATTGTGCAAAGCTCTTTTATCTAGGAGTCAAGTTTGAGTTATTAATGTATATATTTTTTAAAAGCTTTACTGAAATATAATTCATTCAGCATATAGCTCACCCACTTAAAATGTGTAACTTAATATCATACTATTCACTCAAAGTATATAATTCAATAACATAGAGTTCACCTGCTAATATATATATATATCAGTGATTTTTTTTAGTACATACAAAGCATTGTATATTCATCAACAAAATCAACTTTAGAATATTTCATCATCCCTCAAAGAAACCCATAGCACGCAGCACTCACTGCCATTTTCCTGCACACCTCTCTTCTCTTGCTCCCCAGCCTGAGGCAAGCACAACCTACTTCCTGTCTTTATAATTTATTTTTTTAGTATTTCATATAAATAGAATCATAATATGTAGTCTTTTGTGATTGGCGTCTTTCACTTAGCATGTCTGTAGACTTCATCCATTTTGTAGCATTTCTCGGTACTTTGTTCTGTTTTACTGCAAAATGAAGCTCCATTGCATGCATTTGCCATGTTCTGTTCACATATTCCCCCATTGATGGGTATTTGGGTTATCCTCACCTTTTACATGTTCCATATAATGCCACTATGGACATTGTACAGAAATTCTTGTGTTGTCATCTCTTTCGCTTACATACTTAAGAGTTGCATCACTGGAACATTTAAAAACTTTTCACTATTTGTTGAAAAGACTATTTTTGCTCTACCATGATCTATGATCCCTGGAAATTAACCATAAATGTGGACAATTCCTACATTTAGGATAAATCCTATATTTAAGATAGTAAGTTTTAGAATATGTAATAAGTCTTGTAGTAAATTATGTAGTAAGTTTTAGAGTAGGAAAATGCATACCATCCAACTTTGTTTTTTTTTTTAAGATTGTTTCAGCTCTTATGATACTTTAAATTTTATATTAATTTTAGCATAAATTTCTGAATTTCTGCCAGTGTTTTCATAAGGACTTCATTGATTCTGTAGATTAATCTGGGTGACTATTCATATATTGTTTAAGCTTTCCTTTATCAAGGTAGTAATTTTGCCAGTTGAATGTTCTCCATGCTCAAGACTCTAAATTCAACATCAGATTTCCTTCATCTTGGTAAATAACCCCATGGCCATCCATACACAGTGATGTCAAGTGAATAGAAACATAGAATTTTTAAAATAAATTAAAGTTGAAAACACTGTATTTCAGTAGATAATTTTAGACTTTAAATTGGTTGTTTACTTCTTCCTGTTAAGATTAAACATCAAAGTAAACTCAGCAACTAATGGTTCATTTCTTCTTTTGACATCCTCTGAAAAATAAGAGGTAGAACTATAATGTTTAAAATTATATTTTATTTTTCCCTTCGCTGTGCATTCTGTAATAGTTACTGCTAATTGGAAGCTATAGAACTA